CAGCCTTTTCTTGCAGACGCCTGGGGCAGAGCAGCTGGGGCGCTGTCAGTTGGTCCCGCAGCGCCGCTCCTCGGCGCTACTGGACCAACCCGGCAGCGCCCCAGCTGCTCTGTCCCAGGTGTACCCAAGTCAGCTGCTGCTGAAACTGATCAGGGGCTGATTCCAGGAAGCTGGAGCAGAGCAGCTCTGCCTCCGGCTTCCCCGATTCAGCCGCTAGTCAGTTTTAGCAGCGGCTGAATTGGGGAAGCTGGGGGCAGAGCAGCTCTAATGGTCCGGCTGCCTGAAGCACTTCCGGGTTCCTGATGGTGCCGGACTATCAGGAGTGCCGGACTATCAGGAGTGCTGGACCATTGGAGTTTTACTGTACTTAGTCCTGCCAGGAGGGCAGGGGACTGGACTCAATGGCCTCTCAAGGTCCCTTCCAGTTCTATAAGGTAGGTATATCTCCATTTTAAAAAAAAAAGAAATGGACCATTGGCAAACTCTTGGGAAGGCATTTTATAATGGTTGGGATCATGGGTTTGTCACTAGCTTTAAAACAAGCAAAAAACAGAAAGTGGCCCAAATTCTGCATTCACAGGTGGAAGTTCAATGGCATCTGCTTATATATGTCCAAGAGCAGATTTTGGTTCACTAAATAAATGTGTGTACAAACTGTAGCATTTTGTTTAATTACTGAGACTGCCTTGCACATTGGCAGAATTGATATAGGTAGCACTACATATATTTAAGGGGAATGTACTTACACATTACCTCTAAATTTGGCCCTGTGATAATCTAAATTGGTATAACATATTCAGTGAAGGGATTTGACTCAGTGTAGGCTTCTTGGGTTTGCTTAGACTTGCCTCTGAATTTAGTCCTCCTATTTGCTTGATCAATCCCCCTACATTCACCTTCTTGATGCAGGCTGTTTAGCCTTCCAATCTGTCAAGGGAGTGTATGCAGAGGCTGCATTATTTTCTAATGATAACATATTTATTGTAATACATTTGTAGAAGTGAAAAGTGTTGTTTATAGCAAAGTGGATTATGCATGTTTCCAGCCCTATGTGGAGGGAATGTGGGTTACCTGGGATCTGCATCCCAAATAATGAAGACATTAGGGGGTAGGAAATCCTTCATTTTTGTTAGGAAAATGAATGTGAGTGCACCAGGAAATGTCAAGAATGGTATAAAAATCTTAAAAGAGAATGTAAGTATTTAATGTGTTTTGTAATTGTAAAGGTAGTTGATCCATTCTATGTTTTATGCTGTAGGAGAACATACTACAATCCTTTTGTCACCTGAGATCATTAGAGAGGAAAATCTTACACTCTTATTTGTTGCTTCATTTGCCATTGATGACTGCATAATTTTGTTAAACTAAAAGCCTTTCTTCTCTGTTTCAGTAAATATGTTTAGTATAATGGGGAAGGCAAATGAAGAATGGCTACATTTTAAATAATTTTATGGATTCTTTAACCTAAAAGACAGTTTAGATGTTTCTGTAATTAACTAATAGCAAATAATATATCAGTCTCCCTGTATACAGGTGTGATGGATGATTAACAATATTTATTCCCACCACAGAAGGCCTGCCATTGGGAATGAAAAGTCTAATCCTTCAAAGAGGCATAGAGACCGTCTGAATGCTGAATTAGATCATCTGGCCAGCCTCCTTCCTTTCCCACCTGACATAATATCTAAGTTGGACAAACTTTCTGTCTTGCGTCTTAGTGTCAGCTATCTCCGAGTCAAAAGCTTCTTTCAAGGTAAGTCTCTTAATCTCAGATGTATCAGGGAGGTTAAATGGATAGTGTTAACTTAAACATTTTTCCACTTCTTTTCTTTGTGCATAGGACACCACTTGGAGTATAATCAGTTCCGTCTGTTATAGGTTTTTCACACAATGATGGGCTAAAGATGTATTTTAGAAAATAGGAATGCAGTTGTAAAACCACAAAAAATTGGCAGGGAGACTCAGAGGCACATTCAATAGCTGAAACTACTTTGTTTTTTCAACTGACTAGATTTCAAGGTGATAATAACCTTTTAAGTATGTTGTACTAGTTAAGCCACACCTATATGGTGACATTATCTGCATTTAATGAGTGCACAATGGGAAATAGACCTGGATGAAGGGCTAAAGGGATCACTTTCTTTCAGAAGTGAAATCTGAAATCTCCTGTGTTGACTAAAGCCATAATGGGCTACACTTTATTTCTGTAGTTGTCTGGCACACTGTATAATCAAAACCAAATGTGTACGTGTGGATGTCGATAATAAGAATTCTTCCAAATTTGCCGACAGTTCTAGTTTCTTCTGTTAATGAAGTGTTTGGGTACTTCACCATCAGAAAATATTACCTATAGAAGTTGGAATATAACAATGTTGGCTTGCCAAGAAATGTTACTTTATTTCTTAATTTTAAGAGAATGTTCCTCTGTTGCCTGCTATTCATCAAATTCTCTTCTACTACTTACAGTAAGTCAATGATGAACAAACTAAGAAGTGGACACCAGTGGGTGCTGGATTAATTATTTTCAGCTGAATCTTCGAGTTCCCTATTACATACCAGTAGACAACTGCTTCTCTTTCACCCTAATTTCTTTCTATTCCTAGCTGATTTTAATTTTATATTCTGGCAGATCTTTTTCTGGGACTCTAAGGTGCCTGAGAAATACCAAGTTAATACCACTTCTATTGAAATCATGGCTGATTATGTCAGGCATTGATGGTCATGAAAGATCTATAATAGCCCCGATCATCATCCCGTACTCCAACCTTACGTATAAAGGGGGAATCTTTGGCATCTTCTCTTAGCAGAGTCTTCTCTGTGGGATCATGGTGTCTGCAAATGGGGATGGCATGGAGAGTGGCTGGGCCAGGAGAAGGAGCAGGTGGATTAGGTGTGGTGATTAGCAGATGCATACCTTCCCTCTCCCCTTCCTTCAGAGAAACCTCAGAAGGTATTATGGCACCAAACCATCTCATGTTTTCCACAGAGCTTCCTCCACAGGTGTTTCAGGGCAGGAAGGTAGAGGTTTCAGAGTCAGTGAAGTATTACGAGACCTCTGCATGGCTCTGCCAGATTTGAGGGCAAGGCAAACCTTGCACCGTAAATGGTCTGATGTGGAGGGAATCTTTGTGCAGATTTGCTCTCCCATGATCCTTTCTGGCAGGTTTCCAGCACAAAGGGATGATCTTGGTCATTATTTTATTCCTGGTGGTTGGAAAACCAGGAAAGATCATTTAGATAAAAGTAGTTTTGGAAATCGGGAAGGGAAATAGCACTCCTTAATAGGGTTTTAGTTGCTTTGTATCTGTGTGTTGCCTGATCTGCAAAGTCAGGATGCCACAGACCTAGGAGTTAATATTAATAGCACAACCTTATTAACCAGAGAAGTATTGTATGTATAATGTTGACAAAGCTCTTTGGGGATAACTTTTGTGGGTATAAAAGGAAATCTATTAAATTCAACAGGCAAGGAGCATTTGCAGTTAAAGACTTGCAAAAGTATATTACCTAATATGTGACAGCTTTTCTTAAGTGTCACATATGAAGGAGAGAGAAGCAGTCTTTCAGATAACTGGATCCCTAGCCAATTAGGATTTCATGGATTATCACCAACACCTTGAATTCCATCCCCAAAACTGTAGGAATCCAGTGCAGATCCCAAGGCACTGGTCTAATGTGTTCCATGCATGAAACTCAGCTTAATAATTGGGCTGTAAGAGGCTACAAAGCATCAGTTTCTGAGTAGTCTCAACGTGTTGTCCCGTAGAGAATGCCCTTACATCGGGCTAATTATGAGATGACAAAGATTCATATCAGTGTGTTGAGGTCCACACTGAAGAGATGACCACACCAATATCACCTTGCACAAGTGAAGTGCCCTTGACCATGGTGGCAATGGAGTATCCAGGCTCTAATAAAAGGTGTAGACCATGCACATCTGTTATAAATGGCAATTGAACTCCCTCCATGTGGGACACTGATAAAATCTGTGCCAGTTCCACCAGATGCTTATCTTAACCCACTAATATTATCATGGTATTATCCAAATTGAGTTACAGGCAGATGGTCCCGTTCCCTGCCCCAAGTTCAGTATAGATATTATGCTGTTATTTTCTTCCTTCCTTCTTCTCTCCCTCCACCAGCCCCCCACCCCGCTAGGATGGAAATATAGACTTGGCCGTCACTTGCAAATTGCATACGTGGCAAAGATCAGAAGGGACCTATTTCAGCAGGTCCACTGACCCCTTTTAGGGACTGCAGGTGGGGGCTGACAAAACCTCATGACTAACTGTACCAAAGGTTGATGATCGATCTAAAAGACGCAGGAATGTCACTTCTCCTTTGCCCACCGTCAGAGCAGCTAAACCAAGCAGGGACTGCCTTTTTTGTGTGTATCTGTACCAAGTGTGGACTCTCAACAGCTGAGAACTAACATGCTTTCCTCCTCCTCCCCCGTCCCCCATCTGGAAAATACTGACTGGCTTTGCTAGCTCTGAACCCAATACTTCTCTTGGTGATCTTCAGCAGTTTAGAAGGACAAAGATCCATCTCACAGGTTGGAACTTGATCCATCTCACAGGTTGTAGCTGCTATAGCACCTGCAAAATCGCAGTGAACAATGCTGATGGAAAACCAAGCAGAACAGTTTACTTGATTGTCCCTTTGAGACGTTGCTCTGTTTCATGGCAGTAGACAGCTCAGTTCAAATTGGAGTGGTTTTCTTGGCAAAATAACATGCAGATTTGTCATGCAGTGAAAAATTTGACTCTAGCTGAGAGGAGGCAGCATGGATTCATTAAGCTTTCAGCTACTCTGGATTGTGCTGCCTGGGCAAGGCCTTGCAAGTGCTGTGCAATGTTCCCTCTAATCATTTCCATCCATGTGTGGAATAATTTTATGTGAACCAAGGAATGTGTGAATGTGCACCAGTAATAAACAAAAATCTAGCGGTGGGCATTCTGCTAATCATCTGGGTGGCATCGGAATCTCTCCTGAGCAGCAGTACAAGTGCACAGCTTATAGGGAACACTGGGTTGTGGGGGTGGTGAAGAAACCTCTTTGCCTCCTGTAGAGTCATGGTATCTCTGTGTTGCTGTCGGTCAAACTTAGCACAAAACTGATGCCATCATGGCTCTTGTTATCTTTGTTCTCATGTTGTCTGTTGCAGGTCATCAGTGAAGCATAGTGACCTGTATGGGCAAAGCTGATGGAGAGGACATGTATGGGCCACTGTGTAGCTAGTGAAGAAGCAATGGTTATTCTATAGAAATGGTTGTCAAAACAAGCCCTCTGCCTCATCAGGTTAGGAATCCTCCAGCTTGAAAATGAAGGCGAGAGTGGTCAGTCCATGACAGAGTAACAACAATTTCTCCAGACTCTTCTCTCAGCCTAAACACCAGATCTCCAAGAGCATGAACTGAAAGCACAGAAGTACAAATGGCTGTAGGAGGGATGTGGGTGAGGGTAGAGCAAGCAAAAGCTTCTGTTGGGGCTGTTCCCAGGTTGAAAGGTTTCCCCAAATCCTCACTCCATTGAGACTATTGTTTCCACAATCAGTTGCACCCTGCTCCTGCTTGCAGGCTGCCTGCTCATTCTAAACACTTGGCTTTGTGCCACTCCCACAAATCAGCATAGAGCTTGCTGGAGCCCCTGCCGCCTTTCAGGAAATGGTGGAATGGCTGGAAAAGAAGGACCAGTGCAATTACAATCTGTAATTGAAACACTAAAGAGCCAGTTATAAAAACACACTCTAGATTGGAGGGCAAATCTAAATGCACTTTCTAGATATTTTTTTTATTAGCCATTTTTGAAAGGTGACATGCGAAAAAAGAAACCTGGGTATTTTTCCTATCCTTTCTCATACCTTTATTATATATAATAAAGACTTAATATATTTTTTTTTATAAAAGAGAAGGCTGTGTGTGTTTACAAGAAATGGCAAGCTGCGGAGGGGCCGGGCCAAACTTCAGGGACATGGCATCAGACACTATGTTCCAGATTGAAACCAGAGGTGTAGCTGTCACTCTTATCCTAAAAGCAACATCTTCCTTCTTCAGTTTATTAGCAGCCAATTGCCCCTCGCACCCCAGTTTCCAGAGTGCCCCTTTCTCTTTTTGAACCCACTCAAGCACTTTTGTCCTCTTTCTCCATGCCTACTGGCTTTACCTTCCTGTCACTTGAACCCACAGTGGACAAGATCTGCCCTACTCGTTCTTCTGCTGTCTCCAACACCCTCCTGCCTGAAACCATAATGGGGATCTGTGAATACCACCAGTATGTAGCCTTTCTTTCGTCCCAGCATGGTGGGTGGATTAAATGCCTCTAAAACGTTCCTTGAGACAAAGAAGATCTCACATACAAGGGCCATCAAAAGTTACCTGCATTCCATGTAGATTTGGTGTCTACTCACTTTTGTTATTATGAAAACTCATTTACACCAGTAATAGAGTACAACGCAATTGTGGTAGCAGAAATAGTTGTGTATCCAAAAGGAAGAAATCGCCATCACTTTCAGCTGTCTGCATGAATAAGTTTTTTGTGCCTGTCATACAATGTCTTTGCCACACTTTGTGACCTATATTAGGGTCTGGCAGGTAAAGAGAGATACTTAATTACCTCTTTTGGTAGCGGGATTGAGACTCTGAAGACTGGAATAGGGGAAAGAGCAACTGGTTGCAGTATGGTTGATGAAGGCCTGAGATACTGATCTTTGCATAAGAACAATAGCTGCTACTTAGGTTTAGCATTGTATTA